GTTGGGGGGACATGCTAGCTCTCTTCTGGTACTTGAGGGGATGCCACAAAGACCAGGGGCTCCATCGGAGGACAGTAAAAGGAAGCCACAGATGGAAACTTACCAAGGAGACTTTTCAATCAGCAAATAAAAACACACAGACAAAATCTGCCACCTGTGTCATAATTTTTGACATTGTATTGGTAGTCCTCGACTTACAACAGTTCGTTCACTCACTGTTCAAAGTTACGGCACTGAAAAAGGGACTTTTAACTGGTTTTTTTTTTTCCACACTTATGACTGTTGCAGCATCCCCAGGGTCACGTGATCAAAATTTGGACGCTTGGTAACTGACTCGTATTTATGACGGTCGCAGCATCCCAGGTTTTTTGTGATCCCTTTTTGCGACCTTCTGACCAGCTAAGCCAACGGGGAAGGCAGATTCACTCCCACAATCATGTGACTAACTTAACAACTATGGAAAGAAAGAATGGCCGTAAAATGTGGCAAAACAAAACACTTAACAAATGTCTTGCTTAGCAAGAGAAATTTTGGGCTCAATTGTGGTCCTAAGCCGAGGATTACCTGTGTATGCTCACAGGATTTATTCTGTCCTAAACCTGTCCACAAAACCTGCCGATTGCTCACCTGTACATTTTTTTTTTATCATTAGTATAGTAGAAATAAATATATTATTTACATTTTTAAAAAGTATAATATTGAAGCATATCGGTGCATTGCCGGCTCCATAAGCTGGCGCCTTAGGAGGTGTTAACAACACATCTGGTATCTGTAAGAGCTCTGAGACCACGATTGTGTTAGATTTCTGTCGTGGAGACAAGGTCAAGAGGAAATAAACACCCTGCTTGCTTGGTTAAGCTGCCACAGACCACCCTGCTTGACAAGCCTCCTGCAAACCTACAAATTGGATTGCATCGAAGCCAGGAAAAAACACCACTGCCACTAGCTTTTTTGCACAGCTAGGAATAAAATCGGATTGTCGGTAACCTTAATTTACATTCAACTGCACCTATGAATTAAGGACATACAGACTTTATGATGTACAAGGAAAGAGTGATGAAGCACCCGCAAAAAACCTCGTTAGCAAAGACTTATAAACAACACTAATAAAACCTGCCAATTTATTGCTACGGCGAAATTCAAACCGGAATCAAAGGCTGGATTATGAATCTCTGGCGCCCCCCAGCGTTCGCAGCGAGCAACAGCACCAGGTCTTGCTGAGTCAACTACTGTATATCGTACTTCAGGCAGAAATTAAAAATCAGATCTTCTCTTCAGTTGTAAAACCTGAGGCTGGTAAGAACCACACATGCTTTTTTTTCTACTTAAACAGCCGTAATTTTCCTCCTTTTCCTCAAATCTTACATTGCAAAGCTGCAGAATACAGGCAGTCCTTGTTTAGCGAGCACTATTGGCACCAGCAACTCAGCCATTAAGCAAAATGGTTGTTAAGTGAAACCACAACTGTGCTTGCAATCTTTCTTCAGCTTTCTTTTGCTTTGCAGACATGCAAAGGTCATAAATGGGAGGCCTGGCTGCAAAGTTACTTTTTTCTCAATGTTGTGGCCGTGAATGGTCACTAAACAAGGCAGTCGCAAAGGCTTTGTTGACTCTCCTTTCAGAAAATGTCAGAGAGAGATACTCTTGGGGTAGTAACAGAATCAATTTCTTTTCCATCTCTCTGCTCTTTATATGGGCTAAATACTGGCAATCCGTATATGCAGCATTCGTTTTAAATAAAATGCCCCTACGTGTACGCACTGCAATGCATGTTTCATTGTCTATTTCCAAAATATTGACACAAGCAAAAAAAAAACTCTGACTCACTCACTCAAACAAGGTGGTACTTCCTGCACATGGAGAAAATATTAGTTTTGACATAATCCAATGCCCCGACGAGAACTATTTGTCAAATTGACCAGAATTTTCAAGTTTCACGGTAATCTTATTGCAACTTGATCTTTGTCTCCAATCACCAGAATTTTAAGCCATACAACCAGCAATGCAAATCTGTTTGCTAAAAAGTCTGAAGCAGGAAAGTGATAGACCAATTTTTAAAATACCTTTCTGTTAAAAAAAAAAAAGCACATACCAATCCCCCACACTGAATTAAAAAAACTGGTCACTTACCTTTTGGTTTGACCATCCAATTCCAAAGGATTCAAAATTGGTCATTTATTTATTAACTTTGGGAAGGAGACAATACAATCACATGTATTTTTTTCCCTGTTATTTATGACTGCAAATTTTTCTACTTCTTTGTCCCTCTTAGCTTCTTTTCTATATTCTGTCTTCCAAAGACTTCAAAAGTTTCTACTGTACATATATACATTTTCAAGCAGACAGACTTTGACCTTTTCGGCTGTTGTGTAATTCACCAATTCCCAACTACAGCAATTTCCAACTGGGTGAACTTCAACTCCCAGAATCCCCCAGCCATTGATGAGAGAATTCTGGGAATTGAAGTCCATATATCTTAAAATTGCTAAGGTTGGGAAACAGAGGCCTAACTACTTCAAGACACTGTAAAGTTATTTCCTGTGATATGTACTGTACATATGCACACCATACACATATATCCACTACTTTGACTTCTTTTTTTTTTTGCTTTTTCCCCATCCGTATGATAGTAGTTAGCTTAAAAATACTGCAAAGTTCAAAGCCAGGATATTTTTTTTAATGCAAATCAAATACTGTGGAAATTGCAAAAAGATTTTCAAGACCAGGTCTCCAAACTTGGCATATTTAAGACTTGTGGACTTCAATTCTGGCTGGAGAATTCTGGGAGTTGAAGTCCACAAATCTTAAAGCTGCCAAGTTTGGAGACTTCTGGCCAAGGGCATGTCCGTTCCTTTTCTTCTGTTCTTAAACTCAAATGAGGAATGCAAAAATCACATCTGCCCTCAGCCCACCCTCCCTCAAAGCCAAGCGGGATCCATTCCGCTGTTCACTCACCAGCATTGACGATCGCATCGACCTCCAACTTGGTAATGTCTCCTCGGAAGAGGGAGATTTTCCCATTCAGATTATTATCCTTTGGGTAATTGGTTTCTTCAGGCTGCTGGATCCGAGCGCCTGAAAGGGGGAAGAGATGCAGATGACGATGACGACAGGAAGAAGAAAATATTTCTCTGTCACTGATTTCAAACAGCTTTTAAAAAAAGACTCACTTTTGGCCATTTCTTTCCATGTTGGGATCTGCTTCAGTTTGATGAAATCTTTAGTGAAGTAATGTGAACGCCGCTGTTTGTTGTTCAGTCCTTTCAGAAATGCTGAACGGGAAGATAAAGGAGGGGAGAAAGAAAAGAGTGGTTGGTGGTGCAAATTCGGGGGGTGGGAGAAATCCGCAATAATTTAATAATTTACTGTACATTGGTTAGAAAAGAATCACTTTTAAGCGATTGCATTGCCACTTCAAAAAAAAAATTCAGTAGCTAGAAGCGGGTGAAAAGCTTTTAGAGTAGCTAAAATGAATGGAAAGCATCAAATCTGCAACTGAGCACATCCTAAGGCCAGGCAGTCCTCATCTGGTAGAAGCACCAACTCGGTCATGGATCAAAGCAGTCGCTAAGTGAAGCCACAATTCTGTTTATAATCCAACTCCAGCCTTCCTTCGGTCGACAGACCTGACAAGGTTGTCCATGCAAGGCCCTGTGTGAACGGTTGCTAAATAAGGCAGTCGCTGAACGAGGACTAGCAATGGCAGCTAGAGACAGTTTGGTGCAGGGGTTAAGGTGCCAGCCTTGAAAGAGGGTGGCGGCGAGTTCTAGTCTTGCCTTAGCCATGAAAGTCAGCTGGTGACTTTGGGCCAGTCCCTCTCTCTCAGCCCAACCTACCTCACAAGAAAAAAATACCCTTTATAGTTTTTATACTATGAAGTTCACATTATAGTTACCTATAAAATAAACTAAAAAAAAAAAACAGTTAGGATTGTGTATTATATATTTTATTATTTAGCTCTTATTGTATATAGGTTTTGTAAAATTGTATCTTCTTAATATTGTAAACTGCCCAGAGATACCTTGTGTAGGATGGGCTGTCAATAAATGTAAGAAGGAAGGAAGGAAGGAAGGAAGGAAGGAAGGAAGGAAGG